AAAGTTTATCCTTGTCGATAAATGGATGATTTACCCTTATATATAAAAGAGTAACTTTTCTTTATAGACAAATGTTAAACCTATCTTTATAGACAAATGTTAAACCTATCTTTATAGACAAATGTTAAACCTATCTTTATAGACAGATGAATACTTTTACAGACATTGAAACTTCAGTCCCCGTGTGGGTTCCAGGACCCCATTGTGGGGAAAACAAGATAGACCCACCTGCCTGTCCAACAAGCATGTCGTAAGAATCGACTAATTTAGAGCTCCCTTCGAAGTTGGAGTGCATCTGGCTGAGAAACAAAGAACAAACAGTCTGCATACAAATTAAGTCAGATCAGTAAAACGGATGTGCACGTAAAAACTCAGGTTCTGGAACAAAATTAATGTTCAGACGTTGACAAGCAACCTGAAGTTTCCGCCAGAGTTTACAGTCGGTAAACGCAACACAACAACAACAAAAACAAATAAACTTATCAGGTAAGAAACAGATAGAAAAATTAATTACAGGTGATTTGAACCATCGCTCACCGAGATCTGACCAGAGAATATTATCTTCATTGTCAAGAAGTGCATTTAGTTCCACATTTTGTAAAAGCTTCAGCGGTATTCCATCTATTTTTGCCTTTTCGCCATCATCAACGCCATCATCTTCGTCATCTGAAAAAAATGTCTCGTTTTCTTTCCAGAACTTCTTATCAGCGTTCGTAGGAAGTGAACTTCTCGTTACATTATCGTCATACGCAGGCGTAACGACGGCAGATGCTGCAAAGGCTGCAACAAATGCAGTAAGCAAGAAATGCTGCAAGCTTCGTTGACAACATGCTAGAGCACTACGAATGTTTTCACATGGCCGGGAAAGATTTTGAAGACTGCAGGTCAATAAACTTGGTGCACTATAAGGAAAAGTAATTATTTTTACTAACCTCAGCCCACCTAACTGGTTTAATAATCAATTATCGTGGACGCAATGGCAAAGAGCTCATGAAGACAACTGATTAGGGTTGTTTTAGAAAGAAACAAAATTCTTCAGGCAAGTCGTAAAATGTGTGAAACAGGATTGCGTCCTGACAACTAAAAAGTTGGAAGGGAAGAGAAGGAGATGAAGATCAAGAGAGAAAATGTCAAACAGCTATAGCACGATGGTAAGGAGAAGGAAAACTCATCTACCAGGGCTTATAAAATGTTTTTCATGCGTAGGAAATATAAACATTGTGCTTATGAAATCTATTTTTGTTTATATAAAAGGATCTCCAAGACTACTATTATTGGACATTAGGTGAAAAAATTATTTTGAAGCAGCAGAGATGTGGCTTAATCCACGAATATGAGCCTACTCTGGACAAATTAAAAAGTGTAACGAAGACGTCTTCAAAGACCGCATCAGAAAGAGACAATCTACATTCATTGGTCATTTCATCAGAAGGTGTAAAACTAGTGTACATTATGACGTTGGGAAATTTGGAAAAAGTAAAGGGAGAGGGGGCAAAGGGAAACAGAGAGAGAAGATGCTGGGCAGACTGACTTCATAGCATGGAAGATTATCTGTGTCAGAGTTAACTGAAATTACATGAGACAGAAGGTTGTGGACATACATGACTACCAACGCCACACGGCATAAACTATGAGACGAAAAATTCCTTTGTTTTGAAAAGAACCTTCCGATACGTTTTCCCCATTGCTGCAGAAGACGAAGAAGCACAGCTAGAGTTATGCTTGTAATGGCATTGGCGATATATTTATTTGTCCTATGTATATAAACTTGCGGGACACCATTCGTAGATAAGAAATGATTGAGATTGCTAAATACAGAAGGCTGTGGATAGATATGATTACTAACGCCTCCTCGGTGAGCAGGGTATGGAGAATATTGTTTCGAGTCACATAAATTTCTTTGTAGTGGTAAAACAATCGTCTTTTTTCACCACTTCCTCTTTACCGCATCATGGGTCAGAGGAATATATTTAATAGATGCTTTTTGCTCTTCTGACAGACTCGATCATGCATACATATCGTGTTCTTGTAGAGTTTCTCTGATGTTATCTTTTCACTTTTTTCTTGGTCTACCTTGTGTTCTACTTCCTTCTCTCTCTCTCTCTCTCTCTCTCTCTCTCTCTCTCTCTCTCTCTCTCTCTCTCTCTCTCTATCTATCTATCTATCTATCTCTATCTCTCTCTCTCTCTCTCTCTCTCTCTCTCTCTCTCTCTCTCTCTCTCTCTCTCTCTCTTTGTGATAACCTTTTATGACATGTCAAAAGGCATTCTCGATTAAGTAGGCAAACCATTTGATTTTCTGTCTTTGTATATCACTTAGTAGTGGTTTTGTGGGACTTTTTCTCTTATGGCCTCATTTTTAAAAAATTTTTTAATCTGATCACTCCCCAGCCCTTCTCATATATTTTACTTCATGGTTACTAATTTTCTGTTGGCTCTGATAGTTTACGGTGAGAATTTAAAACTAAAATATAATCAGTACCATGACTCGAAAGTGAAATGCTTTGCTCTTATTAAGCGTCGCAGGCGGTTATAAAGTTAGAGAAAGCATAGTTCTATGGAGAGAGAAAAAAAAAAGTAGTCGATTGGCACAAGGACAAACAATTTTGTGTGTGGATTATTTATATGTAACTTTCAATGAATGCAGTCTTTCTTTATCAGTTGAGATGAGAAAAGGAACTCTTAAAAGCTATATAAATTATATCATGATATACAGACGTGAATCATGGACGTATGAAAAAATATTTGGAAGCTGCTGAGATGTACTTTTATAGACGAATGATGATAATACCCTGAACAGATGAAAATAGTAATGAAGATGTCTTGAAAACAAACTTACTCGCAAGGGGAACTGATTGCCTAAAGATAAGAAGACAGTCTACATTCTTTGGTCATGTCACGAGAGGGAGAAATCTGGAGTATCTCGGGACAGTGGGAATGTTAGAGCGGAGGAGGGGCAGAGGGAGACAGAAGATGAATATGATAGACGGTTTGACATTATGGTATGGAAGATTATCTGTGTCAGAAATGATTGAAAGTACACGAGGCAAGATTGTGTGTATACATGACTACAAACGCCATACAGCACGGACTATTTAAAGAATGAAGAGAAAACCGCTCATGTTGGGGCATCTTCCTTTGCCTCCCTTGGTAGCTCCTGGTGAAGACAAGCTAAAAGTTGTGTTCAGGCACTAGGTTGGTCAAACAATTTGAGTGGAGATCTCTTAAAGCTTGCTTGGTCCTGACCTTTAACCTCTCATAGACCACAGATGTCGTGATCAGCATGTGAGTAGCCACCTCTGTATGCAGTTTGTCGATGTTTTGACTGATTAAAAAGGATAAGATTGTTCAGCTTGTCTTGGTCTAAACGTTTGTACTACTTCTTGGCCTTGTCGCCCGATTTCTCCTTCTTGGGCTTTTCAGCAATAGGCTTTGCGGCCTCACTTTCGACCGTTTGGGCTTGCTCCCGTGTCGCTGGACGAACAGATATAGATCATTAAAGACACATTCAGTCTAAAAATACATGAAGCCGATAACTGTGAATGACTGACTTTCTACCCAACCAGGACATCACACAAGCGATAAACACCCGATGACACAGAGTACCACCATGTGGGTGAGGATCACTGTGGAGAGGTCCCAGACACCGCGTTCAGCCTTTAGGCCATATTTATGGCCAGTCTATATTGCGGTCCCTGGCAAGAGTCAGAGTAGGGCTTCAAATGACGAAATAACTGTGAATAGCAGGAGGTCTGTGTCATAGTAAATCTCTGCAAAAGACCTTCTAAGTGAATATTTGTGATCTGGCAAAAACACTTATAATTTCCAAAAGGTGCTGATAATTTCCAATCATAGTCACAGGACGATTATCTGTTCTCTTACAAGCAGCTCAAAAATGAAAGACAAACTGTTTTTTTTTTTTTTTCAAACTGGTTTTAATGAACTATAAAAAAAAAGTGAAGTAAATGAACATTTTCCATCACATCGAGTGTACTGAGCATATAGGGCCAAACATAATTGTTTTTAAACTAATCGGCACTCAGTGAGTGATGTGATCTTTACCTGATACCCATTTAAAGCTGCGACGACCTGGAAGCCAAGGTCATTTTTACAAAATGTCCGGCTTAGTCTAAACCTACGACGTTCGAATCCTCTGGCAAGCGTCTAGGCGCTGCACCACCGTTTCTCCCTTAATGAATGACAATAATCATTTTTTTTTTTCAAATACAGATGATCATCTTTATCGAAGCCTCAGTTATTAAAGGAAACATGTCGCGCCTCATGCATTTTCCTGATCAAGATGTCTCCTAAATTCTATGCCCACCTTCATGCTGGTCGGTCTCTGCCTCTTTTCCAGTATCACGCGCTTCCTTACTAATTGTTTCAATGGCAATATTTTCTACACCAGTAGTTCTTCTTCTTATAGTCCATGCCGTGTGGCGATGCAGTCATGTCTATCCATAACCTTCCTCTATATACTTTCAGTACATTCTGACACATGTGATTTTTCATGATATGATGATAAACTGTGTCTACCCTCTCTGTCTCCCACTGCCTCTCTTCCCCTCCACCTTTCCTACTGTCATCATGTACTCCAATGTTCTTTTCCCCGTGACATGACTAGTTAATGAAGATTTTATCTTTCTGGTGTGGGCAATATTCCTCTTCGTGAGTCAGTTTCTTTTTTGACATCTTCAATATTCTTTGTATATGTTCAGGGTACCCTCATCATTCGTCTATAAAAACATTTCTTCGCCAATTCCAAATAATTTTTTACGTAATCGTCCACATGTCCATGATCCACTTCGGTTTGTCAGTTTATGATTTATATATCTCTTGAGAATTCTCTTTCTGGTCTCCGTTGACAAAGAAAGATTGTATACAATACTTTTAAGCACTTAGTGTACAAAAAAAATATATATTTGAAGAAAAAACCCACACAGTTTGATGATAACACACACACACACAAATTGTACAATAATACGAAAACAGTTGATTTATTCATCTTTCATTGAATCTGATCTTTCTGACATGTTCCCCGTTTGGTCTGGGCGAACGAATTTCCACAGTAGGAGATCCTTGCTTGCTTCCGTCACGGACAGTGAAACGGTGGGGGCCGACTGTGCCAGTTTGGCCGCTGATGCCGTTTTTACTGAAAGACGTCACGTCGTCTGGTCGAAACTGGTTGAAGCTACGAACTGCATCCTCAAAGTTGCCTGGCCTGTACGACAGAAATATAACCATTGAGAAATCCCTGGTTATTGTATAACTAGAAGTATGTTCCGTTTGACAACAAAGATATTTAAACGCATAAAGTATTCAATTAGAAACGTATGGGTTGAATATGAGTGTTGGTTTGGTGGCACCATTTTGAGGGAAAAAATAATAGACACATCCCCCCTCGAAAAAAATGTCATTAATTAAGAGACTTATGTCCAAACTTGTTGGTGTAGGAAACACGGAGGCGTGACCCTGCAGCGTGGCACCTGTTAATGCCGAGCATGTAAACTGTATGCTGACAACAGAAACGCAATCAAGCCTGTTCCCACCATAATGAAGACAAATATGTATAGAACCAAAGAAGATAGGGACTGCACGAAAGCTTTCATAAAGGCTACTGGCTTCCTGATACAAGTTTTCTGACAGAAGGATCGAAGAAGAAGAAGAAGAAGAAGAAGATAAACAGAAGAAGAAAGAAAAAGAAGAAGAAGAAGAAGAAGAAGAAGAAGAAGAAGAAGAAGAAGAAGAAGAAGAAGAAGAAGAAGAAGAAGAAGAAGATAAACAGAAGAAGAAAGAAGAAGAAGAAGAAGAAGAAGAAGAAGAAGATAAACAGAAGAAGAAGAAGAAGAAGAAGAAGATAAACAGAAGAAGAAGAAGAAGAAGAAGATAAACAGAAGAAGAAAGAAGAAGAAGAAGAAGAAGAAGAAGAAGAAGAAGAAGAAGAAGAAGAAGAAGAAGAAGATAAACAGAAGAAGAAGAAGAAGAAGAAGATAAACAGAAGAAGAAGAAGAAGAAGAAGAAGAAGAAGAAGAATAAGAAGAGAAGAAGAAGAAGTAAGAAGAAGAAAGAAGAAAAGAAGAAGAAAGAAGAAGAAGAAGAAGAAGATAAAACAGAAGAAGAAGAAGATAGAAGAAGAGATAAACAGAAGAAGAAAGAAGAAGAAGAAGAAGAAGACGAAAGAAAGAAGAAGAAAGAAGAAGAAAGAAGAAGAAGAAGAAGAAGAAGAAGAAGAAGAAGAAGAAGAAGAATAAGAAGAAAAGAAGAAGAAGAAGAAGAAGAAGAAGAAAAAGAAGAAATAGAAGAAGAGAAGAAGAAGAAGAAGAAGAAGAGAAGAAGAAGAAGAAGAAGAAGAAGAAGAAGAAGAAGAAGAAGAAGAAGAAGAAGAAGAAGAAGAAGAGAAGAAGAAGAAGAAGAAGAAGAATAAGAAGAAGAAGAAGAAGAAGAAGAAGAAGAAGAAGAAGAAGAAGAAGAAGAAGAAGAAGAAGAAGAAGAAGAGGAAGAAGAAGAAGAAGTGAGACTTTAAAGCATGGGTTTTCAGTCTAATGAAGCAACCCTTTCTTATAGTTCCTCATGTTGTGGCGACCCCCAACTGAACAATTATTTTTAGTGCTACTTCATAACTTCAGTGAATATATTTTTTTTCTTATGGTCTTTAGCGTCCCCTGTGAAAGGGTCTTTCCACCCATAAAAGGGTCGCGACCCACAGGTTTTAAACCGCTGCTTTAAGATGTGTTATGCCGAATGGTGTAGGTATCGAAGCTTAGCTAAGAACATAAAAGAGCATACTGCCATTTTAAGGACGATTGCAGTAGAAGAAAGAAAGAAAGAAAGAAAGAAAGAAAGAAAGAAAGAAAGATAGATAGAAAAGAAAGAAAGAAAGAAAGAAAGAAAGAAAGAAAGAAAGAAAGAAAGAAAGAAAGAAAGAAAGAAAGAAAGAAAGAAAGAAAGAAAGAAAGAAAGAAAGAAAGAAAGAAAGAAAGAAAGAAAGAAAGAAAGAAAGAAAGAAAGAAAGAAAGAAATAAAGAGAGAAAGAAAGTAAGAAAGAAAGAAAGAAAGAAAGAAAGAAAGAAAGAAAGAAAGAAAGAAAGAAAGAAAGAAAGAAAAAGAAAGAAAGGAAGAAAGAAGAAGAAAGAAAGAAAGAAAGAAAGAAAGAAAGAAAGAAAGAATGAAAGAAAGAAAGGAAGAAAGAAAGAAAGAAAGAAAGAAAGAAACTGATTACTGATTACTGATTTAAGAATCGACATCATAGCACACCGGGCATACCCATAGATGCTCCGTGTCCTGCAGCAAATGATGTAAGAGGTAGATGCTAACTCTTCCCGTAGCACACTGATTATACACACGCCGATCTCTTCCTCTCATCCGTCACTCCTTGCCGGATCCACACTTAATTCTTCACTCACACATTCTTGTCCATGTTATTTCATTTAATCTCGTGTTTTCTGCCAAAAGTCGTTCAGAAATGGTCTTCAGAATATCTCCCTTGTCCAGTAAGAGTGTTCCCGTAGCTTTCGATTTTGTAGCCAGAAAATCCGCTCTTTTATTTCCTCGCACTACTGCATATCCAATACAATATATCCACATGATTCCCTGCAATGTTGGCTTACTGATGCTTGGTGTCCAAATATGCCACATTAGTCAATTATGAACCTTCCGCAGTGCCGACTGAGAATCAGACACAATAATTCCTCTGGTAACTTTGTTTTCTGCTATACAGGAACAAAAAATGTATTGAAAGCAGTGAAGATATATTTAATGAAGGCAGTGAAAAAAAATTCAATGAAAGCAATGAAGATAAGTGCAATGAAAGCAGTGAAGATAAATAAAATGAAAGCAGTGAAGATAAATGGAATGAAAGCAGTGAAGATAAATGGAATGAAAGCAGTGAAGATAAATGGAACGAAAGCAGTGAAGATAAATGCAATGAAAGCAGTGAAGATAAATGCAATGAAAGCAGTGAAGATAAATGCAATGAAAGCAGTGAAGATAAATGCAATGAAAGCAGTGAAGATAAATGCAATGAAAGCAGTGAAGATAAATGCAATGAAAGCAGTGAAGATAAATCCAATGAAAGCAGTGAAGATAAATGGAATCAAAGCAGTGAAGATAAATGGAATGAAGGCAGTGCAAACAAAACGTAAGAAAGGAAACTCACTTGTTGTATTCCTGGGTAACCCTCTTGCCACTGACGGTAGTTTTGGGAGCTCTAACAGCTCCATTGAAGAGATTGCGACCAGCGGAGAACAGCCTTGCGAGCCCGCCCACCCATCGCTTTGGACGACGTTTTCCTTGTCCACTGTTACTGGGGAGAAAAATTATGACCGTTTCAATGAAACAATCCTTGGCAGTCTTGCAAGAAACTAAACCAAGAAGAGAACTGATTACCCTCATCAGAGGCAGATAATCTACATTGCTTTGTCATGTCATGTCATGAAAAAGAGAAACATAAAGCTCACTGTAACGTCGGGAAAGTTGTAAGGGAAAAAGAGGCAGAGGGAAACCAAGAGAGATGATGGTGGAAAGTACACGAGGAAGAAGGTTGCGGTGAGATGACTACTAGCACGGCATTGACTTTAAGAAAAAGAAGAAACAAAAACCGAAAAAAAAAAGAAAAAAACAACAACAGATGCGCAAACTACAGAACTGTCCTCTACAACACAAAATGCTAGTAGAATACACATGGCCAGAAGGAGGAGGCAACCGGGACAAACCTCTTACAAATGTTCTATGGTGGGTAAGGGCTGAAGGGACATAAGCCTTGTCTAGGGGCCTAATGATATAATACCATGCTGAATTACAAATAAATACAATAATATATCAACATGTAAATGATATGTATAAACACAAATTAATAAGAAATTAGCAATGTGGGGGTGGGGTGGGAAGTACACATGTTTTGTTTGGCAGTGGAGGGGTGGGTCTCAAACTACCCAATCCCCCCCACCTCTCCTTTTTATTGGGTATGGGCGTCGTTGCTACGGTTACGTGTACACAATGATATAGGTGGTACCAGGTACAGAAAATTTCACCTCAACCCCCAGTGGCATTGCAAGGTCAGGTGAGACCCAGCGCGGAAAATTCCCTGTCCTTTAATACGCGCGAACGCACACCCACACATACACACACGCGTTTTTTAATGTTTAAAGCACACAGTTTTGCCATATTTGTCATCCCACTGTGTGATCACACATGGGAACGTCCTTACCTTCCTCAGCCCCTTACTCCGTCGCTGGATGTACGTCAATTGATGTCTTACATCTGCACGCTCTATTTCCTCTTACCTATCCTGCAAACTAATAAAACAACGGCTTAACTACCTCAATGCTTTAAAGTAAAGATCCCTTTTCACGCGTTTAGGGGCATCGGGCATGGGAAGAGGACCCACACTTATACACTAACAGATCAATCGGCACAAGGTGGGTAATGTGGTCAGTATAACGCCGGCCGTCTTTACTTCCCCAGGACATACATTCTGGTACCTATTTTAGGCTAAAAGTGGATAAAAATCCATGCAGCCAGCAGTGGGTTTCGATCCCGGTACGTTAGAGTTACGAGTCGGACTCACAACACCTAAGCCACGGACGCCGCAACCTAATTGTATGATATTGTTCATGTTCAGTCATATCCCCCTCCCTCCCTCCCCTCCCCCCAACCTACTGATGTTTAAAATCTTTCCTTGTGTGTGTGTTTGTGGTTGTGTGTGCGTGCCTTTGTGTGTGTGCGAGCGAACGGGCGTGCGTGTGTGTGTATATGAACGCGTATGTGTGTGTGTGTGTGTGTGCGCGCGAGTGTGTCAGTGTGTGTTTTGTGTCCTGCCCTGTTATTGACTTAAGTAATGTGCTGATGACGGCTGCCTTGCTGCTCAGTTCCTGTGTTTGAAAATAGTTAAGCTTTTTGTTTGATTTGATGTCTACTCGTGGTAGGGATCTGTCCGACTAATATGACTCTGGGATCGACCGATAACAACGATTAACATACAATTTCAAGAATCTTCTAGAAACTCTAAGAAGGAATGGCGACGACGAAGAGAACATGTCACCCATTCTCATTAATCATGGCTCAGAATTTATGAAAACCAAACACTTCAAACTTTAACTGCTTTAGGATGGACTATGCCCTTGGATCATGCAAAAACAAATTGCAATGTAAATTACCTTCTCTGTTGCTGGAAAGCCTGTTTGACTTTTTTAGCTATGATTTTAAACATGATAGGATTGACAAGCTGCGGTTTTGAGGCTGCTCTTTTGTGTCTGTTTAAATGTAAAGAAAATTTTTGTTAGGTATACAATCAAAAATAGATAAAGTCAAGAGGGTTATTCGACTCTTCTCATAATTTTCTATAGCATAAATATATATATACTTGTTCTATATAAACAGGGTATGGGAGCTGGCCTCTGAGTAAAGGCCCGAGATGGAGCGGTAGTAACCTTCTAGACAAGCTCTTCGGTAGTTAGAGTAACCGCCAACTTAACGCCTATTTGGAGTAATTTAGCAATGCCGCCTGGAGTGACTCACGGTTACAATGCTGCAGGTTGGCAGTCATCTAATCTGACCGACAGAGCAAACGCCTTTCCGACCGGCCGTATCTTGCAGTCTGAGTTTTGTGGGAGATAACAGCGAAACGTAATTTTTTAAAATTAATGTAAGGGACATAAAGGCAAGAAAAAATTTAAAATAATGTTACTGCAGCGAAAGTTTACATTTACTGATTATTGCATTAAGCAAAAGAAATACACAAAAACCTGGCCGCCAGTGTCACTGTAAGATTCACTGTAAGATTAACTATTTTAGGTATACTGGTAATTTAAAATCTAACCCCTCTAGTCACCTGGGTTTGTGAGAGTGAACATTTGAAAATTAAATGCACACACAGACTACAGAAAGATATGTGTGCTTTATAGTGTAATATAGTATTTGCATCGCACACACAAAGAAATTAATTAATTCTGCGAGAGCCAATATCACTGCACTTGGGACATGTCCATACATGCTTCGTCCCATTCTTCATCAGCCACTGAAGACATGCTAATAGTACCAAGGCAGACCGGTTTAAAGTCTGCCTCACTTTCCTCAGTCCGGTGCGCCACTGACGTAAACAAGGCTCCGTTGCTATTTTTAACAGATACCTATTACGCTTTAAGGTTTCTAAAAGGGTACTGGAAGGAGTATTAGACGTCAGAATAGGGTGGCATGGTCACTGAACGTTGCTATGATAATATTACGTATCTAAGGTTCAAATCTGCATCGAAACGGATTTTTTCTCTTCCCCCCCCCCCCCCCCCGCCAAAAAAAACTTGGTTCCCAGGTCGACCCAGCGTAAAATGAATGCCAGATAACGTCCTGGGAAAAAAAGGCGGTCGGCGTGAGGCATTAATGTCAATTCGTCTGTAAAAATATATGTTTAGCTCTATGTATCTAATAGGCCAAATGAAGATGAATAAAAGTAAACTATCCTTTTTCGCGTCTTCATGCGTATTGGTCATAAAGGGTTAGGCTTGTATGTTATAGACCATTCGGCACTGGGTGAGTGATGTGGTCAGCATCACACCGGCCGCCTTTACTTCACAGGACTGTACATTCTACTCATCAAGACTGGGTAGACCTGAGAGCCAAGGTCTTCCTAATCTCACTCGCTATCGTCGTGGTCTGCGATTCCCATGCCTCCCTATACCATTTTACCCTCTTCTTCTATTTCGCGTTCACCTGCTGTAAACTCCCGCAGACAGTTCTGGTTGTTGATCGCAGGGCCGCGTTAGCGCAGTCGATAGGAGACTCGCTTTTAAATGCAGCTGCGACTCGCTGCAGCACACGGCCTGTGTTCGAAACCGAGCCGTTCCTGGGGTTCACCCAGCATCTAGGTAATGGGTACCAGAGTTAACGCTCTGGGGTAAATAGGGGAATGTCGCTGTAGCTACAGAGTTGCGTGCGGACGGCGACAGAGGGGGACAGTTTCTTATCAGCTGTCCGTACATGATGGCAGAGCACTTAAGGTTTTTAACGGTGTGCAATGACGCTGGTTCGCATCTCCCGAATTTACCTTTTTTTTTTTTTAAACCTTCCACGGTCTTTAGTCTTGTTTCAGAACCTGAGCTTTGCTAGCAAATTTGTTTCACAGATCTGATCGCTGGGTATACAGACTGTCTGTTCCTTGCATCTCAGCAGATGTCCTCCGACTTCGAAGGGAACCCTCAATTAGTCGACTCTAACGACATGACTGTTAGGGAGCCAGTGGGTCTTTTCTTGTTTTCTCAACAATGGGTCGGAATCACACGGAGATGGCACAGTATAAGCTTATCATCGGTAAAGACAACAAATTTCCAACAGCAAATGTGACGGTTGGTTATGAAAGATAAAATGGCGTTCCCCGTGGGGGTTCCGGGGCCCCATTGTGGGGAAAACAAGATAAAAAACACTGCCTACCAAAAAGCATGACGTTACAGTCGACTAATTTGGGGAGCTTCTTTTGAAGTCAGAATGCATCTGCCTGAGAGGCAAGAAACCAACAGGCTGCATTCAAATGAATCAGATCAGTAAAATTGATGCTCACGCAACACTCAGGTTCTGGAGCAGGACTGCAGTTCAGATATGGACGAACAACCAGAAATTGACCCCAGAGTGTACAGCTGTTGAGCGCGAAAAAGGAGAAGTAAAAGTAGAAGATGAAGAAGAAGAAGAAGAAGAAGAAGAAGAAGAAGAAGAAGAAGAAGAAGAAGAAGAAGAAGAAGAAGAAGAAGAAGAAGAAAAAGAAGAAGAAGAAGAAGAAGAAGAAGAAGAAGAAGAAGAAGAAGAAGAAGAAGAAGAAGAAGAAGAAGAAGAAGAAGAAGAAGAAGAAGAAGAAGAAGAAGAAGAAGAAGAAGAAGAAGAAGAAGAAGAAGAAGAAAATGGCATAAGTTACCTGTTATCTACGTAAACAACGCCGGGTTTAGGCATCCTGCGCAAACCTTGCCACGCTTTCTTAGCAGCTGTGGCCGCACCCCGAAGTAGGCCAAGAAAACGCCTCTGCCGATGTTTTGGGCGCACAGAATTTGTTTCTGTTAATGTGTCATTTTTTCTGAAGCTCACAGCCTTTTTTGCAGTAGCGATGTCTGTAACAGAAACCAGTCATTTGTGGAAACCGAAAGCCCACATAAATATAAATGAATTAATATACATAAAATGTTTGTCAAGACTTAAACAACATTTAACGATGGCAATTGCTGTCTGTAATCACCATTTTTGTGGCAATGCCAGTCCTTAAGAAAGAAAATAGGGACTTAGAAGCTGAAATGCTGTAGAAAGTTTCTCAGAAAACAATGGACAAAGAAGAGCAGAAATAGAGAAATTTTAAAATATCTGAACTTCAAGGAAGATAGGCTAATAAACAGCATCTTTTATCGGAATCTGATTTGTTTAAGTCATATCAAGCGCCATGGCGGTTTGAAAAACAAATAATAGCAGTAGGAATGGTATCAGGAAGGAAGGGGGAGGGACCGACCAAAACGAAGATGGGTACAGGACATAAGTTACTCCTTGAGTATGAAAGTACACAAGACAGGAGAGCTGGCAATAGACGGAGTTTCTTTCAGGCAGGCCGTGATGAGAGCGACGTTCTGCAAAGGACCTGCTACATGATGCTAATGGGGGCAATATAGGACGGGTGTCTTGGGCCTGATATGGGTAGCCCAGCAGCCAAAGAATTGTAAGATTAGGATTTTTTTTTTTCCACCCCGATAAAAGGAAACAAAACTTTTCATCACCTTGAAGAGGAAAACATTGGCACTCGGATAAGGAAAATATGAGTGATGGTTTGAATTAATAATGAATGAACAACACAGCGTAAATTACAGTGGACATATCGACTTAATGTGCAAGTTGACATCAAGACTGTTACCTCATAATTCTAACCTATCGAACACAGTTTATACCCACCGATATAGTCCACCCTTAGTCTGAGAAGTATTTATTAGCACTTGAAAATTCGACTTATACACCGCAATTTACCGTAACTGTTTTCAGTAAGTCATGTAATTTATCATCTGCGCAGCATATTTTTTTTTTTGGATGTTGAATGTTGTATGATGAATTAGTAATAAATATTATAGTACACTCCCATAAGCGCTCCTTTCCCATCTTCAGCAGCAAGCGAAGATTTCCAATTCCGATAGCACCAGTAAATGTCTGATTGTGTGTCCGTCTCGCCTTCCCATTGAGTGTTTAGCGTCAGCCAGATTCCTTGGAAATGCGTGGCAGCTCCCCATTCTCCTCAGACCGTAATGATCTATTTGTGCTTCCGCACAGTTCACTCGCTCGCTGGATATTCTGGGTATTCATATAATCATTTTCAGCGCTGAATAAACTGAACAACACAATGTAAACATGCAGCACACTGCTGCACAATAAGCTGCATTAACAGGTTAGTTGCGCGTCCTTTCCAGGAAGTTGCAGAGGCCGTCCCAGCATTGTTTGTGACTGTGGTTTGGCTAGGGACTTTTAACGTTTAGCAGTTTGCCAATGCTTTCTAAAAAGTTGACTCTATACCAGTGTCGAAACTAATGCAAGGAGGTCTGCTGCCAGCTCGCCCGCAGCTTGCATCGTATCCGGCATCCTGGAATTAGGAAGTGCATTCGCAGCCTCGCATAAATATATGACTAATACCTGAACAAGGTGAGTAATGTTTTTAAAAGCATATCTTTTATCTGTATGTTTGTACGTCTCTGCTTTTCAGTCTGTCTATTCTTCTTCTTCTTTCGTTCGCCTGAAATAAGTTATCTATATCAGCAGTTTTGTCTCTTGTATAAATTTCACTGTCGTTGTTAGTTCATTCAGTGGTCCATAGAGTTTACGTTCCACTGTTGTTCTTTCTGGCCAAAAGGTTTGCCTTAATGTGTCAAAATCGGTGCAGTCCTGGAGTACATGCTCTGCGGTCTGGGGCACATTTCCACAGGTGCACATGGCTGATACACCTATCTTGAATTTTGTGTACATGTGGTTACGTAATCGGTTGTGCCCTGTTCTGAGGCGGAAGATAATGACTTGTTCTGGTCTGTCCATAATAAAATAGTCGTCTTGTGCTGGGGCTGGTGGTTTCTTGATCGATTTAATGATTTTTTTCTTTTGGTGGTATGTGACTGGTACATCTGGCTGCTCTTTTTTCGCACCTTCCCCTGCCAGTTGATCAGCTTTCTCATTTCCAGGCACTCCACAATGAGACGGTATCCACTGCATTACGACTCTTCGCTGAGCGCTGAGTTGTGTCAGCAGTGTTTGCAATTCTGGTAGTTTCCTAAACTGGAGTGCTTCAAGTACTGATTTAGCATCTGTGAGCATTACCACATACTGTAAGCCAAGGTTGGTATTTAGCAGTTTCTCTGTAGCTATCTTAATAGCCTGGGTTTCTGCATCATAGTTATGGCAGTACTTCCCGGTTGGTACGCTGGACTTATCCCTAGTACCATCTGGGAATTCGATGTACACTCCAGCACCACCATTTCTAACTGCACTTTCTGCGGACCCATCTGTATAGACTCTGACCCATTGTTCTTGTGGGTATTCTTCATCAATATAACTGAGGGTGGCCATTCTGCGTTGTACACTATCTTGCTCTTTCTTGTCAAATATCCCTTTCACATTTGTCTGGATTTGTACTGTTAGTTACATTTTTCTCTCCATGGGGTTTGTTCCGGAATACTTTTAAGTGGGCAGCCAATTTCTGGAAGGTCAGGAGTTTTGTCTACATATTCTTTTTGCTTGGTGTATAAAGCTGCTTCTTTTTAACCGTCCCAAGGCTAGGTTCTTAAATCTATTTTCCATCGGGTGATCTGGCATACTGAGGAACTTTTCAGCTTGTATTTGCAACTTTGTATCTCTGCGTTCTCTCAGTGCCTCTGTTTTCCCAGCTTTCTCCATTTCTAATATGGGAGTTGATTTCATCCCTCCTGTGATGACTCTGAGCGCTTGATTTTGCACTTTGTCTAACTCCTTTAATGTAGTACTAGATGATGAACACCATGCAGTTGACCCATATTCCAAGTGTGGAAGTATGCTCTGCTTGTACACTTTATTGAGTATTTTCCCATCTGCTCCCCATGTGGTTCCACTTAGTTTTCTTAGAATTGCTGTCTTCCTCCTGGCTTTGGTTGCTGCCTTGTTGATATGTTTTCTCCATGTCGACCTGTCATCAAATGTGACTCCTAGGTATGTGGGCTCTTTATCATCTCTCAGGGGTATTTCGTTTATTTTGATGGTGCCGGCTTTTTGCTTTGGGGAGAGGGTGAATAGTGTGGTGCTACATTTGTCTGTGTTGATGCTGACACACCATCCATCTATTGGCCCATGCCTCAAGTGCATTTGTAGCCCGCTGTAGTGTTTTTGTGGCTATCGTTGCATGTTCATTGGTGCACCACAGTACCAGGTCGTCGGCGTACATTGCCATTTTGATTCCATTTGGTATCTCAGCAACCAGATCGTTGATAAATAAAAGGAAAAGTGTGGGCGACAGGACACCACCTTGAGGGACGCCTTGTCGCAGTAGAACTTTTTTACTTTTAAAACCATCAACCTGTACCCGGGCTCTTCTGTTATGTAGATATGCTTTAATCCAATTGTACATTTTCCCATTTATTTTATAGTTTCTCAATTTCTTCAAAAGCCCCTCCTTCCAAATCTTATCAAAAGCTTTCCTTAAATCTATCCATGCCGCGAGTACCAGTTTCTTATCTTGAAAAGCATCCTCTATTTCTTGGGAGAGGTATGTTGTCTGGTCTTCCGTAGAATAGAACTTTCTAAAGCTCGCCTGCTGTGGTGTAATGTTGTTTTCACTTTCAATGTACCACTGTAGTCTGAGGTTGGTGATGCGCTCCATTGTTTTACAGAGACAACTTGTGAGGCTGATTGGTCTGTAGTTGGAGGCATTAGAACTGTCTTTCCCAGGCTTTATGAGGGGTATCATAATTGCCTCTCTCCAGATCTGTGGAACATTCCCTGTTGCCCAGCAAGCATTAAATATCTGTAAAAGCTTTGTTTTGGCTACTTGTCCTAAGTTTCTGATCATTTCGTTTGATATACCATCTGCTCCTGGTGACTTCCGCATTTTCAGCTTTGAAATGGCCAACTCCAGTTCATTAAGTGTAATTGGCACCTCTAGCTCCTCTGATGTTATTTCTTTCTGACTTCTAAATTGTGTCTTTTCTTGAATTTCGTGTTTTTTCTCTGAACTGATTTCAATGTCGTTATCTAAAGCAAAAGTGTCCGCAAATAGGTTGGCTGCCTCTTTTCCTGTGACCATGTTTCCATCTTTTTACAGCGTGATCTTTGAGTTCCACCCTGTGTCCTCATCATTAATTTGTTTCACAAGCTTCCATAACTTTCTTGTGTCTTTTTAAAGTTCAGCGACCTTGTTTTCTCCTGCCAGCTTTCCCTTCTAACCTGCAGCTTTGCCCTTACAAATTTTGCTTTTGCATGCTGGTAGTTATTGTGATGTTCTTTGTTTGGCCTGGTCTCTGCTATCTTTCTGGATGTTTCTACTTCGTTATGTAAATTTTCTAGCTCATTACTCCAGTATGAGTCTGTCTATGTGTCTGTCTGTCTATGTGTCTGTCTGTCTATTTAGCTGTCTGTCTTTTTAGACTAAATATCAGACTATTTTTACACATACACACGCACAAAGACACATACACATAGAAACACACACACAGATACACACACACACACACACAAAGAAATACACACACGCGCGCGCGCGCATTACTGTTAAATGGACATCCCAGAAACACTAAACAATCAGTTACCGAGTTCTGCGATGATGATGTTGTCTTCGGCATCAAGAAGATCCTTGAGCTCATCTGCTGTAAGAGACTTCAGGGCTATTCCATCGATCTCAGCCTTGCCCCAGTCAACAACGCCATCGTTACTTGCAGCTTGAATCCAGCCAGAGCTTGTCGTTGTGTTGTTCCCTTGTTGGTCATCAATAACGATTGCTTTCTGGCTATTGATGTCATAATTAGGAAAAGCCGCAAATGATGAAGAAATGGTTACAATACTTGTAACAGCAAGAAGCACCACGAATGTTGTTGACTTCATGATGGCAATGAAGGAGTAGGGTTTCCTATTAGCTTACTGTCAAACGGAGGAAGCAAAGCAGTAAAGGGGCGTCTGTGACTTAGGAATTATGACTGCGGTTTCACTATTCCAAATGTTCCTGTTTGATTCAGCTGCAGCTTATTTTGTATCAGACCTCTTTGTGTTATTTCGAAAATGATTTGGAGCTTCCAACGTTGAGTTAGCTATGGCAAACTATTGAGCCTTGAAATGTTCTAGTGAAAACACAAACAACTGACGAATGCTAAGGCTGGTTTGCAAAAGCATTAAAAAAAAAGGTAACAATTAACTTTAAAACACGAAAACTTGTAGCTCTTGCGTTAATTAAAGCCATTGTTTTCTACACTCTTTCTATTTCAATAAATACCTTACCACACCCGGATTCAAATTATACAAGGATGCTGGGAACATTATCTAACGCCCCACATTAATTCAAATTAATTATATGCACAACAATTGCAGCTTTCCCATATGCTATTTTAAATTGTATCTGAGAGTTTATGTAATATGTATCCTGGTCTTCTAGCTTACATTTTTAAGGTGTTGTTTTTTTAATGGAATTCCGTGTCATGTATTATGACATGTAAAAGCTCAAAATATGACATGTTGATGATGTTTTTCAAAGCCACGATTTTATTTTAGCAAATCCGGGAAAAATCTTTTGCCTTTTTTAAAAGAGTCAAAGTAATGCCTACTCTTCACGTAGAGAGCAGCCGTGGTGTGGTGACTAGACACTCGCGTGTGGGTCCGAAGGTAGTAGATTCACATTTGAACTGACTTTTTTGTAATAACTTCGGCTTCCAGTTCTAAGTAAAATAAAAGACCCTTATGCACGCATATAGGGCTAGACCTATATTTTTTTAGACCAATCGGCACAAGATGGGTAATGTGGTCAGCCATCGTGTCGGCTGTCTTTACTTTACGGGACTGCACCCGGTACTTACTCAAGACTGGGTCGACCTGGGAGCCAAAGTCATTTTTAAAAATAAGTCAGGCTCCGCCAGGGAGAGAACCCACGACCTACCGATCCGCGGCGAGCGTTTAGCCGCTCGGCCACGGAGACTCCCTGCTTTCAGTTCTACCCAGCTTTAAATAGGTACTATGTGAAGTCCTGTGAAGTAAAGGCGTGAAGTCTGTGAAGTCAAGGTGTGAAGTCTGTGAAGTCAAGGTGTGAAGTCTGTGAAGTCAAGGTGTGAAATATGTGAAGTAAAGGTGTGAAGTCTGTGAAGTCAAGGTGTGAAGTCTGTGAAGTCAAGGTGTGAAGTCTGTGAAGTAAAGGTGTGAAGTCTGTGAAGTCAAGGTGTGAAGTCTGTGAAGTAAAGGTGTGAAGTCTGTGAAGTAAAGGTGTGAAGTCTGTGAAGTAAAGGCGGCTGGCCTGATGTTGATCACTTCACCTTCTGTGTGCCAGTTGGTCTGAAAATATAAGCTCAGCACCCAGTACGCCTAAGGGCTTGGGAAAGGCTGCTTAACTTTCTACTTGTCTCGCCAGTGGCGAATCTGGCTATTGCAAGACTCACATTTTTGTTGAATAATCGCCGCTCGGTGAATGATGTGGTCAAAAATACTCAGGCCACCTTTACTGTTTCAGTGGTGAAATTCCATACCATTTACGACTTCCTTCTGCCACCCTGAAAGCTAGATCTACCAGGGAGGGAACCTCTTTGAATATGCTGGATCAAGCTGATCACATTTTGTTCTTGCGAAATCAGATTTATATGTATATTTTTTTACACCAGTATTCTAATCAAAATTAAAAGTTCTTGTGAAATTATAAATTAACATACTATTTTAACATCACTCTTTTGTGAACTTCAAGTGTTAATTTTCAACACCCTCTTGATGTCATTCATAGTTTTTTGTTTATATATATTTATAAATATTTTTTTATACATAGATGTTGCCATATTATTAAGTGTCTTGATCAATTTTTTCGGGATATTTGCTGATACCCATTTTAGTCTGGTCTGATATGTCGGTGTGAATGTTAGTTTAATCTTGTAGCGCGTTATTTAGTATAACCCAGACATGAAATGACAGAGATGTCCCCAGCTTGGTCCGTCAGTTTGTCGTGTAAATCAGAGATGACATGTTAAAGGTGTTCTAAGTTTCTGCCCGTTAATTTGCATTGTATTTCTGACATAATATGTCAGATGTCTTCTAAGTTGTGTCCGTTAGTTTGTATTATCTTATGCAAATGCGAGTCTAGAGTTTCAAGTACTATAGGACAGACATCATTGCATTTTTTTTTTTAATTTTATTTCAAGAGAAGTTGTTTTTGCTTCCAAAGTGGCGTTCTTTATCATCGTTAAAATGCGATAGACAATAAAAAAGACACGCATGCTTATCATAATAGTAAAATGTAAAGGTAAAAAAAGTAAAGGACCCTTTCCACGTCATTAGGCGTAAAGGGCATATAGGGCTAGACCTATATTTTATAGACCATTCAGCACAAATTGGTGATGTGATCAGCCTCTCGCCGGCCACCTTTACTTCCCAGGACTGCACCCGGTACCCGATCAAGGCTGGGTAGACCTGGGAGCCAAGGTCATTTTTTTATGAAACAAAAATTAAGGGCCGTAATGACCCGAAGTCACGACCTTTCGATCCACAGGCCAACTTTTAGCAACTTTCCCGCCGTGACTTACGAGATTTTTTCTTTTTTTAAAGTATCGAGAAGCCATGAGTTTTTAACCCTTAGGCTCTTTATTATGGATATCGCAACCCTTCGGCCTTGATTCCATGATAAACACCATAAATCTGGGAGAAATGTGGCTTTTCTGCCTACCCCCGGGCGTGAACCCGGATCACAAGGAGTTCGTCACCTGGTCACCGCGCAGTCCGGTTTAGCCAACTACGTTAGCGAGCCGGGCTGACTTCCGAGATATGATAATGTTTTCATATAAATTACATTATGTGTGACACTAAGAAAGAATGGTGACACTTTGAGGTCATGGCATAGACCACGGCCTTCTCTATTTATAGGCCTAACAGGTCAACGGGGATTCCCGTTCTTGTGCAAGAATTGAGTCCCTCTGCGTTAGAGAAGGCAGTGCATAGACTAACTATTAAACATCTCCCCCCCCCTTTCTCTCTCTCCGTCTCTCTGCCTCGTTTCTCTCTGTATCCTCTCTCTCTGTCTGTCTCACTCCCTCTTTCTCTGTTCACTATCTCTCTCTTCATGTGTGTGTATGTATGTATATACATATAAAA